CAGAGATGTAGGTGAAAGTGAATGGAGCCATCTTCAATTTTATCTGTACATTTCTGCCAGGTGTGAAGGTGCATGGGAAGTTCCTTTGATCAGCAGAGTTAACTGCTGATGAATACTCTGCTGAGATTGATAAGCCTGTGTGTCACTGGGTAAAAGTTCTGAGGAGATCATGGATCCATGTACTCTATTGCCCCAGAGCACAGATATGGGCATTTAATTATGTTGAACTTGATTTACTCTACCTCCTCTGTGAATTTATCCAACAAAAAGATGTCTAAATCCAGATACAGTTCCTAAAAGCATTGAAAACCCTGTTTTCCCTCTTACCTTTCCCAGTTGTCATGCTCCAGGCATTTCCTTTTGTTCTGTAAAAATGGTTTGGGGCAGAGGGTTCATCTGTGTAGGTGAAGATATATAAACAAGCTATCACATGTACCCAGGTTGTTAGATGCTTCCAGTATGTTGAGAGGCATTAACAAATTAGATAATCCCTAAAGGTTTTCACCACCCAGCAAGGCAAGGCATAGTCCTATTCTTGACAGACTTGCTTCTCAGAGGACTGGTCCTAAATCACAGACATTTAGAGTTCCTTATTGACTTATCTTTTTGTCAGAGAAACTTTATGAAAAGTTTACAGTGTGTCATCATCCCCTTCCCCAAAAACCAGTGTGTAAAGCTGCAGCAAGTACCAGCAGTATTTGGAAGAAAGACTTGTAGGTCATTTATACAAATTCAAGCTGAAGAACCATGTGCTGGGAGCAATCATTCAGAGGAGAAATTGAGAGTTACTTGTCACTATTACATTCAGACCTAGCTGCCTGCTACTTGTTGATCAACACTCCTACACATGGTCACGCTACTGTCAGTAGCAAATGCTGGAAACTTTTAGAGACAAAGATGAAGAAACTGAAAGCTTGTCCTTTGACAGCAAATGGCTGCGGTGCTTCAGTCACTGGATGATCTGCCTTGTTGCAGAAGTGTTCCTCATCTGGGTTTCCATGCTACCCAAGTGATGGAATTTCTTAAGAACACACTGATCCCCTCAGTCAGAATTTGCAATCCCAGTGGCTGAACTGTAACAGGCATTTTTACTCTAGGTGTGAAAAAAATCCAGGCCAGTTTGTATCCATAAGAGTGGCACTGGAGAGACTGGATCGGAGATTGGGGTTGCCTTGTATGTGAAACCACTGCTTGTGAAGATATTAGCTCATGTTGTATCTAGGACTTGTGGAAAGAATATCACAAGTGGAAGGTGGAAAGATGGCACACACCTGTACTGTCTGTCTGATATTAAGTAGTCCTCTGCTTTACTGCAACCCCAGTTGTTTTTCTTTAGTGGAAATGTGGAAGAGAGTGAGTTAGAAGTCAGTTCTCCAAAGCAGAAATCTCCTGACTGTGAATGTCTGTTTTGTACTTCTGTCCAGTCTGTCAGGAAGGAGGTAGGCATTCTTGCTGTTCACTGAATTCCACATTTGCACATGACTGAAGAGGGTACTTTGAAAGGCAGCACATCAGAGATGACACAGGACATGCATATTATAGTATAAGACACATGTGGAATTTACTGAAGGAGGAGGCAGAGGAAACAGTGGTGTCCAAGAAACTTTTGAGAAGTACAGAGATAGAAAGTGAAGAGTTAGGTAACAGGTGAGCAGCACAATTCAATACCTGGTTTTGCAGGGTTCTGAATTGTACTGTTCCTTTCTGATTCTGTAGCCACCACATTAACATTTCCCCTCAACTTCCCTCCTTCCCTCAGCTACTGTAGTTTGCCATGAACTGCACGTGAGACAACATCTACTGCCAGGGAGCACACAAGAGCCCGAGGCTGCACGAACGCGGATTGCCCAGCTAGCGGCTGCCTCGCGGCTGCCAGGCAGGCCTGACAGCCTGTGCTTCCTTGCAGCTGCTGGCAGACCAAAGCTCCAGGAGCTGCAGTCAGCCCTTGGGCCATATCCCAGGGAGACCTGCTGTAGGAACCTGGGGTGTTAAAGCCCTTCAGCCCTTTGTTGGATGTGACTAAAATTGGCCCAGAGTCACGAGTGAGTGGGAGCGGGAGGACATGCAGCTGACAGCAATCACAGAAGCCCTTCCCCAGGCTAACCGTGACATGAGTAAGCATGAATCATAGCATAAATTGATGAGCCTAAAATTAATGAGCCTAAAATTATCTACAAAGATGAATACTGCCTAAATAGCCCAACACATTATGCGCTTTCTGCTTATTCTGGAATTGGCAGATTTTGGCTTTGGGTACAGATAGGCTGATTGCTTGACTCTAGGCCAATGGTAGCCTGACAGTTCCAACTATATTTTTTTAATTTGGGCCTGCTCCTGTTTTTTTTAGATGGAGATTCAGAAGCACCTTTCTTCCCTACTTTGTAGCCTCTAGGTATTACTGATTTGGTGCTGAAGTTGGTATTTTTTTTCTCCTGGCAGCTCCTTGCCCTCCAGCACTGAATCCAAGCTGATTCTTCAGCCCCCTCCCTCTGGCACAATTCCCAAGCTGTCATGTCAGATGCAAAATAAATACTCAGAGGCTCTGAGCTCCTTGTATCCAGAAAAAACTGCATTTTCACACTGGCTCTGAACCTCTTCTGTGGAGCCAAAACAAAATTAATGTGGAAACTAATCCCTTTGCCCCTACCACGCACATCCTCTTCAATGGTGGAGCCAAGAAAGACTGAAGAGAATTAACCTTTTCCATATATTTCTCAGATAGGAAATACCCTACTTTTCATACTCTCATTTTTTTTCCAGTTGCTGCATCAGAGAAACCAGTCTTCCCTGAAGGAGGAAAGCACCTTCTTTCTCTTCCCACTACTAATGCTAGAAGTTTATTTTAAGGACAAATTTAATTCCTATGCAGGATTGCTATAGCTCATCTTGGCTCTCTACAGCCATTAGCTACACCAAGTAGGTGGCAGAGCTTGTTGGAGTAACTGCTGCCCACTCAGATAGAGCCAAGAATAGCTGCAGCCTCTCCTGGGGATCAGCTGTACCAGTCTGGAGCTTGAGGGTCCCTTCCTGTGACGCAGACATCACCACCATAGCCATGGGAATATGCTATGATGTGAACCCAGACAGACATCTGGAAACGAGGGCAGCCTGCAGGGCTGAACTGACAAAAGGAAAACAGAGCATTGAGGTTTAAGTTCTCCCTGACTTCCCTCCTTCCAGGTGTCACAAACCCCAGTGCAGCCTTGTGCACTGTTAATAGGTCAGGCAGAACCCATGGCAGCCCTTCTCTCAGCTTAGGTTAACTTGCTGCAGGAGTGCTGCCTCTTTCTCTTTTCCAGTGATTCACTTGCACATCTTCTCACACAGGCTCCTGGAGTATCCAGCTGGAGAAGGGGGGCAGTGTGGTGGTGCTGCGGAGCCTGCTGTGGCTGGGACTCACATTCTACCATGTCCCAATGACCAAGCAATTCGGCTACGTCTACTTTGGAACTGGTGAGAAGAATCTCGATCTGCCCTTCATGCTGTGACTCTTCTGTCTGGGAGAAGGACTCAAGAAGTAGAAAATATCTACATTTTATACTTAGGAAATTTTGTTTACTGCTTGTTCTAATAAAAATGTGAAACCTCTGCACTTTGAGCAGGATTCTTCTGTGCCTGGATGCTGGCCCTGATTCTTTTCCTAGGACTTCACTGTATGCAATCCTCCCTGAACTCCAGATGGAATTCAGAGAATCACAGAATATTCTGAGTTGGAAGGGACCCACAAGGCTTGTCAAGTCCAGCTCTTAAGTGAATGGCCCATATGGGGACTGAACACAACCTTGGCGTTATTAGCCCCAAGCTCTCCCTGTAATGTGTCACTGCAGATCTTATAGATAGTGACAAGTGACATTTTCTTCCCTGACAGGCAAGCTCTAGGTCAGAAATCAAACCTCGGCCATCTGTCTGATTACAAAAGCACCTTGCTTACACAAGAACTAATTTGGAAACATGAATGAATACCTGCTGTCATCTATGAATGACAAAAGCAGAGGGAGTCAGGGCAGAATGCTGATGTATACTCTAAGAGATCTGTATTAAACCCTGAACTCTAGAAAGGCATACTGAAGACAGTATTTTGCTTTTCAGATGTTAAGACTTCACCAAAATTAGAGGGGTCTTTCCAGCTCATGTCACTAAACTGTAGGAAAAAAACAGCTGTAGGCATCACCTGGTCTTGAAAAATGTGCTTTTTCAGGTTCATCTCAAGACAGTGGTTTAATCCAGTGACTTTTAGCAAAGCTCACTGAGTAGAGCTACCTGGGCTAGAAGACAGAGTAACTTCTGTGTGTATAAGAATAAAGAAAAATATTTTCCTTTCTGAAGGGCTGTAGCTTTCAAAGCTTTATAAAACAGATCCAGTCAGCCAGAGATTTTATCTCAGTATGGTTAATGAAGTCTTGGCTCTGTCTCCCAAAGCAAAAGGTCTTGGCCAGCTCAAGGGGGCTGAATCTAGGGCTTTTATTTCACAAAATAAGGCTAAAAAGAACCATTTAAATCTAATTTGATTTCCTGGATAATACAGGTTTATCCTTACCTTTTGTTCCTGTCCATGCTGATGGTATTAGCAGATGATTCCAATAAAAGCAATACCAGGTTAATTGGCATAGTAGTACATAAAAATTTTGTATTGATTTGTAGCCCCCAGATAAATACCAAAGAAATGGAGCCAAAGCAATAATGACCATGATAAATTTAATGAGCCTTTCATACCAGGCCCATAATTAGCAATGGTGAATAGGTGGAAGATCTGTATGTGTACTACAAAGGGAGAGAAATGGTGCCACCTTTTAGTTACAAGATGGATAATCAGTTCCAAACTATCCCAGGAAGCAACCATATCACTGACATAGAAGATTTATGAAAATTTATTTGCCAGGGGAAAAAAAAAACAGGCGGTCATCAAGGATGTCAACACTGTGTATTTGCCAGATTCAGGAGTGAAGAACAAGCCAGGAATTCTTAAGGGGACACATAAGATACACACACCTGTTTGCCACAGGTGTTCTGCTGAAAATTATGGATAGAATAGATGATAATAATAAAAAAAAATTAATTTCAGTAGTCAGTAACAATTTCTGTTACTGCTGAGAAAATACAGTGCTGCAGAGAAATTTTTCTTCCATCTGTGTCACAGGTACAAAAGCCCAAATGAGGCAAATCTGACTTGAAACACACCTTAATGGGGAAACACCAGTCACTGCTGGGAAGAGAAGGAAACATCCTTTTTTTACAAACCTATTTGTGGAACATAAAGAAACAAAAGCCTACAGATCCTTTCTGGCTTTGAGGTAGAAGTCTTTGACCCCTGCTTTTATCAAATCATCCTGCACACTGAACTTTGCTTTGATGGCTCTTGTATTCTCCCAGAGGAAAAGATTACAGCTGGACACAATATAGAGTACTAAAGACAATTTTGGAATAAGAAAATTGGAGATATTGACAAACTTGAGAAAAACCCCAGCAGAACAGTGGACAACATGTGCTTACTGACTATGCTAGTTCTGGCCACTAGTGGTTTAAACAGAGAGGCTTTTGTGTATATTTGATATTATCCTTCAGCAAAGGGTGTCCAACTGGATAGGGCTTTTTGCACCACTTAGGGCCCCTCTTCCAAATGGGCTTTGCAGATCTGACGGACCAGCGGGTCAGGTACCTGTCAAAACAACACAAACACATTTCAGTTTGAGACTGATCACTGAGAAAATGTTCCAGCTGAAGCAGAAGCAAGGCACTATAGCCTTTGCCTCCCTAACATGCATTTTTATAAAAGGAATAACCATGAGCAGAGCTCCCTCATTTCAGAAGGGACCACGGGAAAGGAATTTTTGTTTGTTTTGGAATTTCTAAGCTCATCTCTCCACTGAACCCACTGGCACCTGCTTGCTTCCATTTTCACAGAACAAACCAGGTGTAGTCTCCAGGCTGCTGGCAAGTTGTCCACCTGCAGCTAAACAGGAGTGCCAAATCCCTTCATTGCAACTAAGTCCAAGACTGAATGTGTGCAGCCTCTAGGGGAAGTGTTATTTCAACAGCTGGTCTCAATAAGGTAAACTAATTACAAAGGCTAAATTCTGTGAGAAAGCTTCTAAAAACGAATACATTTACTTTGGGGGGATAATTAGCTATTACATCTGCATGCAATGGGTTTCTGGCCTAGTCTTGTATTTTTATATCTCCATATTTGCTCTAGTGTTCTCCGTACGATGCTATAAGAGCTTGCTAGTGCAGGAAGTCAGCACCCACAGTGTAAGAGGTATTAAAATGGAATTATCATCACAACTACAAATCTCTGTGAAGAGCAGAGTCTGGCAAATATCCTCTGCTTTTTACCATTTGAATTTTTAGACTTGGCTTTGCAAACAGGCAGGGGATTTCAGATCCAGAATCAGTTACTGGAAATCTTACCCTGTGGCTGGGTGGCCTGGAGTTTTGTTAGGCTTTAAATCTTTTGCTACCAGTAGAGAGGGGAATAGAGGTCCTTAGAGAAAGAGGAGTCTTTTCAGACAATGAAGATCCAAAGTAAAACCTTAGCATAATCTGCACAAACAATGCTCCAACAAATTAGAATTTGGAACAGACTGATAAACTTTGTCCAGCGATGTTTGCACGCCTCTGTTGAGTAATCCCATGGTCTTAATGTAACCTCAATCACTCATCCTCTCCACAAAAAGCTTTGTTACCTTTTATTTGCATCGTGCAAATTTGAGATATTAAGAACTTTGGACAGAGACATTTGTTTGAAGGCATTTGGCACATTCCTGAGAGCTACAAAGAAAGCCTGCTATGCCAGGCAGCTACAGACTGCAGAACAGCAGCCCATTTAGCACTTTTCTTCCTCAGTTCTCCCTAATAGCACAAACTGAAAAATTAATCACATGTGGAGCTTTCTGCCTCTGAAATCAAGGCACTTCCAAAATGCTTTGCTTTGAGGACTTTATGACAGTTAAAACAGCTAGAAGCACCAGCAGGAGGGGTCTGGGTGATGACACATAGCAAGATCCAGCCACTTGTTTTCCTATGTGTGCATTAAACTCGTCCCTTCTGACCTGTAATGCTATGCTAGTGCATTAGTGGAATCCCTTGCATAACAGCATTGGGACAGGAAGTGGGAGAGACTTTCCTGTCTCTAATTTCACATGCAAGGGGAGTTCAGAGAGACCAAACACAGTCCCTAGTTTGGAATGTGGCAAAGGACCATGGCAAGACAGCTTCTTTGGGAGAAGCTGTAGAGCTATTAGATGAGCACATGGGCTAGGTCTTCCTTTTCATATTCCCCTTCCTGCAAGGGGGGTGCTGTAGCACAAATTTTGCTATTGCAAGACTACACTTACAGAAAAGGAGGGAAAAAATCCCAAATTGTTTTAATGCATCAATGTGCCAAGTGCAATTCTGGTCACGTGTCCACACGATTACGGGAAAGTGCTCCTGTGATAATAAATGATCTCACTGGGAGAGTAGTGAATGTGTGAATGTGAGATACACATCAATGCTGCATGCAGGTTTAGACAGACAGTGGCTTTTTAAGAAATCCCTCTGTTTCTGTGTGGGGGCTGGAAGTGCACACCCCAATTCTGCATAGGAAGGAGGATTTAGTAATGGCCTGATTTTAAAGCTTTTGTTATTTCTCTTTTGAGCAGGTCTAATCCAGCCCTCTGGTCCAGGCTTTTGGCTTCCTTTGGGGACTGCAGGCTGGGGCTTTTCATTGTTAGCTGAAACAGACATTTGGACGCTTTCCCTTCCTGGAGCACATTTGCTTTTAGGGCTTTTAATACTTGCTTTGTCCCAAACTCAAACTTGTCCTATTTTGTTTGCTGCCTCCTTTTTTTTTTTTTTTTACCTTGATTCAGCAGTGCAAAAGCCTGATGCCTGGGAGCAGTCAGCCTACAAAGTTCCTTCTCCTCTTTGACTAACTCCGTTTCCTACTATTTCACAGATTTGGGGTTTTTTTTTTTCTGTGAGTAAAAACAATCCACAAAACTCACAGAGGAGAGCTTCAAAGCTCAGCACACAGGACTTCCCTACAAACTGTGCCATCCATGTAAGGTAGGGCACACCCTTTTCTCACCAAGTGTCCCTACTTTTCTTTGTATCTAATAAAGTTTGTCTTGGGGAGTTTTTATGATCACCTACAAACACACACTGGCAGAGTGTTTGAATTTTCTCGAGTAGCTGAAGGTTGTCAAGACAGACTTTTCAGGTGGATGCCAAATGAGGCTGGTCCACAGTGTCCTCACCTGTCACTTCAGCGTGCACAGCTCCCACTCTAGGCAAAGGGGACATAACTGCCAGTCCTGGGAATTGTGACTCACCTCAGGGCTCTGCTTGCCCCCTTGACTAAGGCAGGGCCCTGAGCAAGAACAAGAATTCCTGGACTCCAAGTGCAAAAAAACCGTGATAGGAACTCTGGTGGGATTTCCCTGATGGGAAATGGCAAGATATAATCAGGATGGAAACAACTGTGGTTAATTCACCTGCAGTCTTTGTAATAGCCTAAAATCTCTGTAGCATGTGGAAGTCTGTTTTCATGGATTCTATTCAGTGGGCAGGCCTTCCCACTTGAAGGCTGCCACTTCAGACCTAGGAGTAGGCACAAGGCTTTCATGTGCAGGGTAAGGGAAATGGGAAAACCACATACACAGCTCAAGCAAAGGCCATGTTGGTACAATTCAAGCCTGAACTTCTGAACCCTCACTGAATTTTTTCAATATGGCTTTTGTTTGGATTAAGAGCAGAAGGCAGAGGGCTACAGACTGCAGGAAGCACTCGATCAAAGCGCTGGCGAGACTGCCTCCTCCCTGCCACATCCCTTCCCATGACACCTCTTGGCTTTGCTCACCTGCAGCCCCTCTGGCTCTTTGCTTTTGAGTACACATGCTATGCACAACACAGTTCCCATGCAGATGAGAGGAACCACATGCTGCTGGAGTGAAATGCTGATAGCAGGGAAACCAGATTCTGCTCCCAGGGACGAGAGGTGTCCACAGAGCCTGAGAACTTTGTAATTCATGAGGAATTTGTAGGGAGCCTGCCTCTTGCTTAACACAGAACAACTCCTCCAGTTCAGGTGATGCAGGCGGGATTGACTAAGATACTATCTGTGCCAAGTTATGCTCTTCCAGTAGGAAGCTGGAAATGGAGAGGCAGCTGAGCACTCAAAATCAAGTACTCCATAATCTTACAGCACCTCTTGCTGACAGACCCCAGAGTCAGGGAACCTGTGATATCCCCTCGTCCTTTTGGATAGGGAACAACTTCACAACACAGTGTTGTGTTTTAACCAATACTCTGGACTTGCCAGAAGAACATGAGTGCTACATTCATATTAAAAGAGCATCTAGATGCTGGCCTGAATTCAGGGACTGTTCTGGATAGACTGTTAGTCCACATTTTCCATGCAAAAACTTCCATGCTGAAAAGAAAACTGCTGAGCTATTCAGGTTTCCATTACTGAAAGGAAGACGTTTGACCTACAGCTGAGCTTGACTGTTTCCCAAATGGTTCTGGTGTGTGGTGGCCTGCACATACATTACTCTGCAGTATGGGAACAGTCTGTCACCCTACACAATGCTGGTGAAATTGCTTAGAATTTCCTCAGCCTCACAGGCTAGTGAAAATATTTTGTTGCTGCAGCACTTAACTGGAACATGCCAGGCTGGAGCATGAACAAATGCAGAAATAACAGCAGGAAGTTTTGAAAGGGAGAATACAGGCTGAGGATGAGGGAACAATCCTTGGCTGCGTGACAAATTCGCTTGAAATGATCCCCTGGAAAGAGTGAAAGCCCCAGACTGGGCCAAACATGAGAAAAATTAACTGTAGGGAGTAATTCTGCATTGACAGGGTAAACTTCATTTGTTTTCAATGTCCAACTTCTGCACACAAATGATACATAAGAGAAGGTGAGGACATGAGACTCAAGAGTTCATGGATGATGAGGGTTACTCCCACGGCCAATTCTTCAAAAGCAGCATAGCTAGTAAAGAAGTTAAGTGGTAACATTCATGAGCTATCACTGTCAAAAATGAATCAGGCAGAAAGCAAAAAGGCAAAGAACTGAAGTCCAAGAAATGAGAAATATCATGGCAAGTCTCACCTGGACAGTGTTCCAACTGCAGAGGATAGAAGAGGGAGATTTGGAATGCTCCCCAGTTGAATTCTGACCACAAGATGCTCTTATATATCTCCTACCACCCTCAGCTTAGCTGATCACAAAGCTTAGCATTTCACTTTCATCTTCTGCCTTCTTCTGCAGTTCCCAGTCTCCTCCTCTGTGTTACATTACATCATGGATGAACGTTCCATACTATGCTAGACAGCTATATAACCAAGTACAAGGCAGGATTTGCAGGTCAGATATTCTCAAAGCATTCTGCTCCTCTTGAATTCCAGTAGTGGAAACAGGATAAGGAGATGGAGTGGGTAGAGGAAGGCCAGCTGCCAAATGACCCAGTGCAAAGCAGGGAAATCCTTATCGCTTCGCAGAGAAATCTGGGGCATGTAGAAGGGAATGTCCAAAGTTCGTACAATTGAGATAGTACAACCAGTTCAGAAAACAGAGCAGGAATTCTGCTTTTTGGAAAACATCACTGAATAAGCACCAGAAGAGCACCTTCTTGAGAGGCAGAGGGGTTCTGCATGATAAATCCACACTTCACAACACTAAATCAATGGCACGTCAGCACCCCTGACCCTTGTTAAAACAAGGCACTTTGCTGATAGCTCCACATGGAGGCATGATACCTTTTAATCCCAGCTAGGTGCTAGCCAGTGCATGCCAGACTCTTTGGATTTGAAGCAGGCTCACTTTAATCAGGGCGACTGTGACATGGGCCACACATTCTGGCCAAGACAGCCACAACTGCAGTAAAAATATAACTGAGGAACAGCTTTTTTTTTAGTGCTTTCAAAAGTATACATTAATGCAGCTCCTCAGTTCTTTATATACTTCCTTAGTACATTTGCCCAGGAGCCAGAGCTCCTCCTGTGTAGCTGGCCTTAGACAATGCACACATTGTCTAAGGGACACATCAGTTTTTCATCAGGCTCATTTGTCCCTCTTTTGGCAACAAATGAAGCTGCTCTCAAAAATACTGACACAGCCTTGGAAGAAGCCTGGCCACAGGGAGCACCAACCAGAACTTTGCCAAACAAGCAAAAAAATCCAAGAGATGGCTCATCCAAATGAAGTAATCTGCCAGACTTCAGCCAGGCCAGAGTTGCTGCTCCTAGTCTACATGCAGTAGTTCAATGCTCTGTATCATGGCAGAGGCACTGGGCTCTGAGTCCCAACTGACACTGAAGTGATGAATCTCCTTCAATCTCAGGGGGTGTGAGTGGAATCAGTCCCTAAGGCTATCTTGGGCTTTAGTCCTGTCATTCTAGCCATTGATGGTGTAGTATGTCAAGAGCTCTACCATGAGCAAAACATTCTTCACCTCAGTGTAAGATGGCAGGCAGCTCCCAGACACAAATTCCCACAGAAGTGTGTGAGGTAACATCTGGAGTAGACAGCGACTTCTCAGAAGCCCTTCCTTTACAAAAGTGAAAACTTTCTCCATTCAGAGTAAAGAGACAGACAACAGATTACTTACATTACCTGTGCTTGTCTTGGAAAAGCTTTAACAAACAAATAAAAAACATATTATGAGGCATCTCAGTTTCTCCCTGTTGACATTCCCAGGGCCATAGCAGCAGTGCAGAAAGGCACTGCTACCTCTCATCTAAGCAGAGTGGTAAAGATGGCTAGAACAGCCAATACAGTGATCTCAAAAAGAGATGAAGCTCAAAGATTTGGAAAACACATCACTTAACTGTGTAATGCACTGCCTGCTATAATGGGCTCTCTTTAGATCCTCTTGATGTCTTCTTGGCACTTAAAAATCCAGTAGACATAAACACAATGAAGGAACAAGCTAAGCCAGGTGAATAGCCCTGATATTACATGGTTAAAGGATGATGCAGACATGTTCTGATGGCATTGAACAAGGCAGCTTGTTTGACTCCAGAGTTCAAGCCCACTTCTGCCCCCTTTCTCCCCTGTCAGTTCACTTGCATTTAGCAGCACCACAGATTGAGTGCTTCCCAAGTTACTGCAGACTCACAGGAAGCTTTGGAAACAAGTACAGAGGCAAAGACAAGGTAAGCTTGGACAAGTCATTTATGTGGGAAACTTCTGATAAGAGCTCTGGCTTCATTCCCAAAATAAGTACCAGCTAAATGACTTCAGTCATTCAGCATGTGGGTGCACTTCAGGCTAGAGGAAGGAAGCAATTTGTAACTCCTGCCTTATGCCATGCCAGCTCCTGCTCCAGAGAGCAATGAGGGAAGTGCAGGTGGGGGTTCACATGGTCAAAATTCTTACAGAATGGCCAAGATTTTGCAAGGCTCCAAAACACAGAGCTTTCCCCTTCCAACAGGCTGATAAGACACTATCATGAGGGACCAGGAGAACAGAACTCCTGAAGTACTCCTGCACTTTATCCTTATTTTTGGGACGCATTTGTATAGTATCAGCCCCACCATCAAAACTTTCAATCCCATTTCTTGATCTTATTCTCTTATCTCCACTCAGACCCCAAGGTCTGCCTCCTTCAATGCTACTCCATATTGCCAGCAAACAGCTCTGATCTCTTTTTCTAAACTGCCTCCACTGGCCTGCTACATTCCCTCTTTGGGAAGAGAAAAACAAGGGTAGTGTAGGGAGAGGCTAGCAATGCAGTAATCTCTTAATTTAATTAATTTAGAGGTGTAGCACACCTACTTGCATGCAGAATGTATCCGGAGGTATTCATTCTTTGTTCTTACTAAAGGTCTGTAGAACAATTTGTAAGAGACAGGGCATCAGATCTGGAGTCCTGGTGTGATTTCAGCAAGATACTGCATTTATCATTTCCAGTCTCAACCTGCTACTCAGGGTTGCAATGTGAATGCTAACAAGATAATATGCTCCACCCCACAGCTGCCAGATAAGACAGAGATACTAAAGAATACTCAAGACTCGTAAGACACAAGGAAGAAGTTATTACAGTTGAAGTATCTGATGGCTACAGGGCTGCATCAAATGTAGGGTCCTCTAATTTGACCCTCACTGATATCCATTATGCAGCTTGCCAGCATTTCCAGGAGCCTCTCTCAAATCTCTACTGTAGTCAGACCTGAAATGCAGGAGCCTCCAGCCTTGCAGTCTAAGCTCTCCCAGCGACAGCCCCATGGCCTCTGGTAACCCCACGGTTTGCTAATGCGAGGTTCGTACACGGCTCTGACATCCCCATGGAAACAAAGTGTGAGGTTATAAACAGGGGATTAGCACCTCCAAGCGCCCAGCACGGAGCAGGAGGCGGCTGCAGGCTTTCCCTTTGCCCACCAAAGGCCAGGGGCCATTCAGGTTGGGGAGGGGGAAGAGCGGGCAGAGGGCAAATCGCTGACTGGAGGAAACCAGAATGGGGCAGAAGGGAACAGGCCTGTGATGGGCCCCTGCTGCTGCTCAGCCTGCCCTCCTCACTGCTGCTATCACTGCCTGGGGGGCCAAACAGGCTAGGAGAGAAGGGACTGCTCAGCCTGCAGAGAATAAGGTTCAGTAAGGTCTCACCAATGTTCCCAAGCACCTGAAGGGACGGTGTAAAGAAGAGAGGGGAGGGCTCTCCCTCGTCACTGGTGCTCAGTGACAGGACAAGAGGCAATGGGCACAAATTAAAAAAGAAATTATGTCTGAATGTAAGAAACACTACCTTGTATGAGGCTGGTTCTCTGGAACAAGCTGCCCTCAGAAGAATCTGGGGAAGGTCTATCCTTGGATGCACTCAAAACCTGGCTGGACATAATTCTGAGTAATCTGCTCTAGGTGACTTGGCTTAAGCAGGGAGCCTGGACTACACAATCTTCAGAGGCCTCCCTCTTCCAACCTCAGCTACTCTGCACTGCTGTGACTCAATCTGTGGCATCCTCTTGATGTGACTGCCTTACTGATTTTAGTGATGAGGAGGTGAGCACAGCTAAGGAAGGGCAGGCAGACACTAACATGTGTGGCAGTTTTAATCTTGTGTGAATAAATGGTTTATATGAGATACGACTTGTCCTTAAAAGACTGCCAAGAGAATATTGTGACCGATCTTCTCCAAAATCCTGAGTACACTTTATGAACCCTGCTGCCTGAGGCATTTCTCACCCAGTTGTAAGGAACTGCTTTTCCCTTTCCAATTTATTCCTGAATAAGAGAAATGTGGAAAGACAAGACTATTCACCTGTTCAGCTTGGGTTTCTTGGGAACATGCCCTTCAGGAAGTGGAGGCCTATGGTTTGGCAACAAACCTGAAACAGAAAAAGATGTGAGAATATTTTGCAGTGTCTCTTTGCTTCTATTGCATTCAGAAGTCACATTATACCTCATAAGCCAGGCAATAGCACAAGAAAAGCTCAAGTACATTACAAAGGGTATTTTATCTTCAGTCACTGCTGAACCCGCACCCCAGCCAGAGAAGCTGAGAAGTTGTGCTGGGTAGAGGAAGAAAATATACACTAAAGACACTGTCACTTGGGCTAATCACAGTGGCTTTTACAGAGGACATGGGCCACTGGTGTCCCATCAGATTCCATCTCCAGGATGGAAAATCTGACTATTAAAATTCTCAGTCCATTTAACTTGGATACAACTCAGGTACCAGGCACAAAGATCAGCACAATACTCTTGACTGTGTCAACCTGGGAAAAATAAAAAAGTCATCACATGGCAGATGGCAGAGTTGCGTGTTACTAATGGGGTAGGTCAAGCTTAGGTAAATCAAGTAATTTCAGAAGCAGGTGTTTAATCATTAGTTACTGGAGACTGAGCCATTTCCTAGATCTTTCTGCAACACTTGTCTCATCTACAGGGATAAATGTCTTCTGTCAAGGCAAGAGTCAGGACACAGAGAAAGCAGAACAAGTAGTCTCTGTTCCATCACCCTGTCCCAGCACTTGGACCATAACAAGTTTGCTGGGTGACTGGACAATGACATCTCACTGAGCTATACCAACTGGGCAAGAGACCCCTCTCAAAGGGTTCAGTAGGTACCCTACAGTCAGGGGTTGTGTACCTGCACGGTGAGCCATCTGCACACACACAGCAACCTTCTTGTGCTCCTCCAAGCAGAGGCCTGTGACCCTTCGTGGCAGCATCCCTCCATCTGAACGGATAAACTGACTAAGCAGCAAGACATCCTGAGGGAGAGAGAAGGGCAAAACCATCAGTTCTCCAGCTACCTTCACTGCTGTGACTGCAGGTGTTGTGCTGAGCCTTGTGTTGTGTACAGAACTCAAAACAATGTAAAACAAACAATGATTACTCCCTACGCATTTTGTCTGCAGCTTGGCAACAAGTGGCTTTTGCTTGCTGTCACTGCCTGCCAGTTTAGCTTAGTAAGGTCACTCAGATGGTTTGAGTCTTCCCCTGACTTCACTAGTGTAAACACATGATGTCAGCTGCAATCCCTGCTCCTTCACTGTTTCACTACTTGCTCCAAGATTCTTGCTAAGATAATGTGTCCTAGGTACTAAGAGTTGCACAAGACCTACAGATGCATATTGTTTACACAACTTGAAATGCCATCACAGCTGCTGTCCTAAAGTTCACAGATATGTTAGATCACCTCTGACTCCCTCCTTGTTCCCTCAGAGCAGGACTGTTCTCTGCTATATCCTCTTCAAACTTTTATCTAGTTTCCCATAGTGGAGCTTCCCTCAGGTCTCTCCAGAGGGGTGGAGAGCAGGGAAATGGTCCAAGATGTTGCATGAGGAAGCTTTATGTAAGAAAAGAATATGTGCTGATGAGAAAGGACTAATAGGATAAATTGCTGCAGTCAGTCCTTCAACTGTGCGTGCATTAGGTGGGGCTGTGACAGTCATGGTGCACGAAAAGAGCACTTGAAGCATGCTGAGGGCTCGTCTGTGATTCAAGAACAATTTAGACTACACTGCTGTTGACCTTTACAATTAAAAACCCTAGCCCTTTTAATAAAAACAATTTAAAGGGATCTCTAAGATCAGATAGTATCACAGGGCTGGAATGACAAATTTTTAAACACAGCAGCAATAGCTGTTGCACAAGTGTCCCATTAACTGTACACAGTACAACAGCCCAGGATTCAGATCCATGCTCTCCATTTCCACACCAGAGCTAGATACCCCTCAAGGGGGTATCCAAAGATACCCCTCAGGCCCATATAAGCAGGCATTCTTGACATCCTGACATCAGCATAAGTTGGCCCAAATGGACTCCAGAGACTTTTCCCACTTGTTATTTCCCCTTCAACAGACTTGTTGAGAGTTTACTTCTCCACGGCTGTTGTAAGTATGTTCCTAGGAGGCAGCAGGACCATGCAGAGGCTGCCTGCAGGCTGAGGGGAGCAGCCAGCAAGCGAGCATCCTGACAGAGTGAGTTCAAACGGGGCATGGCAGAACTTTGCACCCCTCAGCCAGGGCAACAGGCAAGAACAAAGAGTACTTGTTGCTTTCCATGTTGGGTGATCCTGACTGCCAGTTCACAGATTCACAGACCTGCTCCTAACCCCCCACCCTTGCTGTTCTACAAAGAGCTCCCTGGAGCATTCTTACCTTCATTTACTGGCCTTGCAAAAGCAAATAATCATGAGTGAATATAAAGTGAGTATTCAGAAATCTAGGTAACCAGGAATTATTTACCCAGCCCACTGCATGACACCAGCTCAGCTGTCAAGGGGGCTGCTGGAATTTAGGACGCCCTTCTGGTAATGATGGATTCTGACAGATGCTGTCATAGAATCATAGAATGGTTTGGGTTGCAAGGGACCTTAACAATCATTGAGTTAATCCCCTCCCTTGCCCTGATGGGCACTCTTTGTTTGATGCAGCTCAGGACAGAAGTGTGTTTCTAGCCTATGAGTGCACATTGCTGGGTCATGTTCAGCCTCTCCTCCATCAGCACCCTCAAGTCCTTCCCAGGGCTGCTCTCCATCTGTTCATTCCCTGCCTGTCTTCATAGTGAGGGCTGCACTGACCCAGGTGCAGCATTTTGCACATGCTCTTGTTAAACCGCATGAAATTCCCACAGGCCCACTTGAACTTGTCCAGGCTCCTCTAGATGGCATCCCATCTCTCAGTTGTGACATCTGCAAGCCTCACAAAGGTGCACTCAATCCCTTTGTCTATGTCATTAATGAAGGTACTAAACAGAACTGGTCCCAGTGACTCCTGAGTCGCACCACTTGTCACTGATGTCTATCAGACCTGAGAGTAGTTGACCACTACTCTCTGGATGTGACTATACAACCAATGCCTTATGCATCTAAAAATCCAGCCATTGAGTCTATCTTCCCTCCATTTAGAAAGAAAAATATTGGGGACCACATCAAAGTCTTTACAGAAGTCCAGATAAATGATATCTAAAGCCTTTCCCTTGCCCACTGACGGAGTCACTCCATTGCTGAATGCCACTGGGGTGGTCAGGCAGGACCTGCCCTTGGTGAAGCCTTGTTGGCTGTACCAAATCTTCTCCCTGTCATCCATGTGCCTTAGCACAGCTTCTAGGGGGATGTTCTGTGATCTTCCTAGGCACAGAGGTGAGGCTGATAGATCAGTAGTTCTCAGGCTCCTCTTTCCTACTGTTTTTAAAAATGCATTCCAGTCACCTGGGATAAAATGCTGGTTACAAGTGTTATAGACAAAACATTGAGGGTTTTTATTTGTTTGGGGGTTCTGTGGTTTGTTTTTGTCCTTCCCACCCCCAATCAATACCAACCTCACTAATATCATGACATGCAGCTTCCCTCTTCCCATAGTTCTTGCTTTCTGCATCCACTTGTCTACACTGAACACATTCAGACTGATTCTCAGATCCAGCTCCTTTGAAAACATGCCATGTCCTGTGGGCCCGCTGACATTTAGACACTGACTTTAATACCTCACTGACACAAAATTACTGGCCAGGCACCCTACAGAACTACGCTGCATCCAAAGGAGAAAAGCCAGCTGAGCAACTAGCAGTGGGCTCCTGGGAGGCCATCCATGGTTAAAGGGAAGCAGAGTATCCCTCAGCCCAGCTAAACATGGCCCTGCCAGGGAGAACAGTAACCAGGGCACCTCATGGTGCCAGCTGCACTAGCAGAAACTGGATGGAGGCCAACCAAAATGTCCAAGAACACTGACTTTTGACCACTCCTGAAATACTGGACTGGATTCAGGAAACCAGAGCAGGACTCTATCCCCCTTTTTCCTCTTTTTTAGCTGTCTGGATCTTCAATTTGCCAACAGCTCAATCTGCCATTTAGCACATAACACTTCCCTAAGTGAAAAAGGACCGTTCAGCTCTAAGTACCTAGAAAGAGAAAAACTTGCAAGACCATGCTACTAGCCTGCTGCAGTACTCTGTGGAGAAGAGAAGGAAGAAAGCTGATGGCAAATTTGAGGCAGTTTCAGTCTTTGCAGCCATGAAAGCCTAAGTAGGCCACACACTCTTTTGAAGGGTGTGTGTGTGGTCCAAGTGATTTCTCATATTACCACCACACCTCATGGAGTCACAGCCTTGTTATCAAGTGTTTCCATGCAAAGGGGGTGGTGGGAAGCAAATGGAGATAATATTTTTTTTCTCCCTATGGGGGAAAAAAAAAATCAAGAGAATCTGTTCTCTGTTATCATCTCTGACCAACAGTGTCACCAACTGACCAACACCCTGGTGTGGCAGTCATTTCTTGACTGAAATCATCAGTCATGTCCCAGCTGCTACAGCTCCAAATCACAGTCACGCTGCTTGGCTCAAAATGCTGCACTCTTGACCAAAGGTTTGTCCATTTCTGAAGATTCCCCATAGTTAACAGGCCAGGTGCCTCTCCCAGAATATTCACACAGATGTATCTTACCACTGGGACAAAGCAGACAGGTACAGCCAACTTCATGGGGCAGCTGTGGAGGGAAGTGAACAAGTACATGGAGCGGTCAAATTAAAAAATATGTCTGGCAAGTTCTCATGGTGCCGTCATGTTCCATGAAATTCACATTTTGTGCTAGTGGACAGCCAAGCCTGTAACCACTGATTTGCTTTAATCACTGGACAGCTCCCATGAGGCTGGATCCAGATTCCCACCCCTGTAATCTGCAGCATTTGATGAAAACAACTTGGACTGAATTAATCTAGGGCTAATAGGCAAAGCCTGCAGTTCGATTTCCCCTAACTGTTGCCAAAGCAAGATGACATATTTACTGCCTACTCAAACTAATGATGTTTGAAGTGGATAAGGGGGGAAAATGAAAAACAAGTTTAGCCTCCACTTCTAAAAGGGCTGGACAAACTTCCTAGATGGAGCACTATGTACCACATATTCTTGTGAATAGATGGTAACCAAAATGCAGAGGCACCTGCATTTTAATGTCTGCAGACACTTGGAAAAGCAGGATCCTTGAGTGACACGTGATTCATTAAAACTTTTATTTACTGCAAGAACAGTTCTATCTGTGCAGCCAAATTACTACTGGGCTGTATCAGACAAGTCTGTCAGTCATTATTTCCAGTTATACAAGAATCTAGTTTTTCCTCTCTCCCTTACTCCTGGGAGCTGTACACTATTCTCCACACATTTTGTAAAAGTGCAGGTTTCAATCCAATTGCATTTGTACAATGACCAAAATAATTTTTTTCTCTCTGATGGATATGAAAAAAAAAATCAACTGAGATCTCAGTTTCACTGGACAGACAGACACATATAGACCACAAACTGTGGGAATTTATATATTAAGCTCTGTTATCCTGAGCCACACCAGAGGATCAGGATTGAACTAGGAAAGACAACTGCAGCCCTCTACACCCCAGCTGAGGCAGGTTGGAATCACGACCTGCTAGGGCTCACAATGCCTGTTCAATTGATTAATGACTCTGGAGACACTGGTCCCCCAGTTCCCTGACAGCCAGAGTAACTCATTATGCCACTACTTTAGACTGTGCTAGCTGCACAGGACAAAAGGAAAGTCCTGTGAGGTCATATTACTCAACTCCCTCAGGGGCTAATTCAACACTTCCCTTTTCATAGTGCCTCATTCAGTCCAATTACAAGCGTCCCAAGCAAAAAAGCTCACACTTTCCTTTCTGTGCAACAGACTGATCTCAGCTTATCAATCTCAAAGGAACCACCATCTATTCCAATCTCTCACCAAGCTCATCTTATAGGTTATGCTGTATGAATTAGGTTATATCTTTAACAAAAATAGCTGCTCTCAATTTACAGATATTTAGGACAATTAACCATCATTGAGAAAAATGTCCCACTGTTTAATTGCCCACAGAGTTAAATGCCTGCACTTCACTAAAGCATCTCAAGATCCTGCTGCTCACCACAGCTGCAGCAGAGAATAAAATAGCAGAGAGTACTTTAGTGCAGAAAAGGGAGATTTTAACATTTGAAAATCCTGAAAATATGCAACTAGTACAAAGCATTCAAAAACATAAGGGACAAGTGAGAAGTGGTCTACCCCAGAACTCAAATTTCTCCTAGTTCTAATCAGCCCCACAGAGGGATGCTTCTAAATATGAGGTAAGAAATGTCTACAATTTCAAAATACCACTTCACAGTGCTCTCTTAGCTCTTTGTCCAGAAAGAGCACTGGATATATACACACTAGATGCACATGCATTCAAAATCTACATGACAGCTGAGACGAATCTACATTCATAGATTGCCTCCCAGCACCACAATTTCTTAGATAAGAAATTATCTTAGTAATGATGCTCAAGATTGGCTGCAGAATCTCTCTTCACATTTCGTTTTCTCTTGCCTCCTTCATACACAGTAGAAATCAGGATCTAAGAATCAAAGTGAAGTGTGGAAGAAAACTCATAATTTAGTTCACCCTACAAACACATGTAAAACTCATGTTTCACACTGTCTGTTGTGACCAATTTCTAATCCTGGAACTCAGACTCTACAGAATCACATTGTCTAAAATATCTTTGGTTCTTGATGGCATTATCTCTCCAGATACTCACTGGAGTCTTCTACCACACATGGCAGCAGGAACTGAATCTATGTAAGTCTACATGTGTGTTTCCAAGATGTAATCCACTGCCATAACTTATTTCATCCCTGAGCATCAGTTTACAGTTTCTCAATGGTTGTGAATGTGTGACTCACAGAAAGCTTTCTGTAAATCTCTAGAATTACTGAGTTTAATGATGCTGTTTATGTATTGCATTTATAAGTCACATAAAATGATATGGACCTTAAAAAAGTATTTTCCAGAGTAAGTAACAAGTTGGTTTTGATCACTACACAATTCAGTAACCATGAAAAAGAATTGCAAGGAATCTCCGCATTCGAACATGGGCCACACAAAACAGACATGATCCGGTTTTGTAGTACTTTACAAAATGGTATTTGTCATTTCACCTAATTTATTATGATCTGCAAATTCACTGTATATCCAGGTTTCCCATGTTGTTGAGAAACCAAGCCAGGAAACACTAAATACTCTCCTGCCCCCAACTTATTTCACTGTTTAATATTGTACCCAGCCTGAGTAAGAGTCACCAACAACATCAGATTCTAAATGTCTCCATTTCTGCAACACAGGCTTTGAAAGATACTAAATGTATTTCATTTACACCTCACATCTGTTGTTTCATCTGACTGGAGTAATTGCAAAATTGCAATTTTGTCTGGTACTATTGCTATATTCATATTCTTCATAATTCATGAGTCTTAATTAGTCCTATCCAACAGGTTATTTGCTTTTACTCCTAGTTGACACCTTTTATTTAGAATTTGCAATGTTTTATTTACCAATCAGCAATCACCAGCATCATTCTCCCTCCCCTCTTATCTGCTTAGGATGCCATTTGCAGTTTTCAAACCATTTGGTGATCCCCCAAAATTATTTTTTATGCTTTAAAAAAATCCTGTGAGTGAAGTAATGTATTTGTTAGCTAATTCCTTCAAGACTGTGAAGCAACATGCAATCCAGGCCTGCTGGTCTGTACCTAATTCAAAGCTTAAGTTATTTCTGTATATGTTTTTCCCCGTTGTTTTACATTTGCAAATTGCCATCAATATACAGATAGTAAAACATAATTTTTCCTTTGCATATGTGCACTAGGACTACACACAAGCAGCACAGTCATTTTGCAACCAAAGTGGCTTTCAGTCCCCTTCTCCTCTCAATAATGGACTTTCTCACAAACATTTCTTTTTCTTCAATGTATTTGTATCCCCCTCTCTAATCCTATTGACATTAGCTTATTCGGAGTTTTCTGTTGCCTTATCTTAGTAACAGCATGTTCCTGTCTGTTTTTCCTCTTTTCTAATTCCAGTGTTGGGTTTTGAGCATGCAAGGAGGTAATTTAGTCCTTTTGTAAACTCTGTGTCTGAGTGACCTCTTGTAAAGTTACATTCTGCATCTGCTATATCATGCTTCTTATTCTGAAGCATTCGTGACTGTTGTGCTTTTGTTTTATAGCACTACAGGATTTCCTTCCCATATTCTAGGTTTAGTGTTAGTTATCCCCTCCTTAGTTAATAAACTTCTCATTAGCATTTCCGGCAAAATGCTTGAATAAAACCTGGGTTTTTTTCTTGCAATGTAAGTAAAAATGTATGCTCCTTCACACTCAAAAAGAGTTTTAAAAGCTGTATGAAACAGTTACTAACTTAGTGAACAATGACAAATGAGAAATCACAGTGCTTGGAGTCATATAAATGACCTGGTCAAATCTTCTGGCCTCTCTGGAGCTAGGCCTGTATCCACTGACTAAATGCTACATTCCAGTTTGATTCTCTGGGAAGTGCAATGGTGAAAGACAGCTGGGCACAGAAGAGCTATGGCATTTCACATCAGATGGCCATGTGAGTAATTCCAAATCTCCTATTTGATACAAGATCATCCTTTTCCCCAGGAACACCATCAGCCAAGGCATGCAATTACTGTGTGAAGCTCTTGGGGCACCCAAGAGAAGCAGAGCTGGAGTCAAGTATCTTTACTACACCCAGGAAAACTTGAGAGGGGCAGGTATGTAGATCTGAGAGCAATACCTGGAGGAATTCCTTCATTAAACTTACCACATAATCGTACTTATGCTTCAGGTTCCAGCGACAGATGGGACACTGGCCAGAGGGGTTTGGAGGAGGTGGTGCTTCAGCATCCTCTATAATTCTCCCTTCAATCTAGGAAACAATTCAAAGCATGCAATGATCAGGCACAGCTTACAGCTCCACCTGCACCTGTGACTCGAGGAATACTGTTCATTGAGTCCACAGTACGCTGACCAGTCCTGTGAGGATGTAAGGGGAACAGCACCTGCATCATTTAACTCACTTTTATAGAGATACAACAAGTCCTTTGGAATGCTTATGCCACAGACTATGGGGAGAAGGACAAATTCAAAGGGCATAAAAACCCTTCGGCAAATTCTTGTGTATGCTTTTCTAAACGCAAACTAGTTGACAATCAGTGTGCAGGTCTCATATTCACCTGAATTCCACTTATTGCAGTACTCTTGAACCATCATGCCTTGAAAGTGTAGAGGCCCTTTAGCCAAAAGCTTTAAAAGAACTTTTCTTCTGGGAATATGAGAATGCCACAGCATAGCAGATGCATATTATAGCTGAAAACATATAGGAGCTTGCTGGACTATAAATCACCAGCAGGGAAAACTCTGAGCAAAATTTAAATTTAAGAAAGGATAGTTAGGAAATGTCTGTGGGGCTTGTAGATTTATTTTATAACACCAATATTTTATCCCGTTTAATTCTCTGAACAATTCTTTTACAAGATTATAAAATTATATTTTGTACATCACTATAAAGTGCTGGCATCTAATACTCAAATTTTCTCACAAGTAACATGCAAAGAGATGTACAAGGTGTGTAAAGGAAGAACTTGACAAATTTGTTTCCTATTTATAGATGTGTTACAAATGCAAAGTCTATCTGCATGTGCACTTGTCTTTTTTTTTTCTTTTTTTTTTTTTCTTTTTTGAGGACTTACAAATGGAAACAAGAGCTATCTCAAATTGTACCCAAATGAAGAGAAAATAAAACTAAGCTCTTTTTTCTCCAAGATATTTTGGAGCTTCCTCTGGTCAAATTAAGATTAAAAGCCAATTCTGAACACTAACTGTCAGCCTCATAGTGTGCAAGCACCAGAGTTTGAAAAGAAAACTTGGGTGGAATGCAAGATTACTTTTAAGAAAACATCAGGTTCTGTGCCTGAAAACCTGGGAAGAGAAAAGCATGACCTTTCCTGTAAGTGTGCACTGGAAACTGGCATCCAGCTGAACTCACAGAACTATTTCATATGGCAGATTTCTGTCTTTCTGATGATAAAACAGAAACAGGTAAGTTACTTGTAGTTTACATCTCAGATCCTCAGACAAAATTGTCAATTTTTAAGTAGGATTCCTCCCCCCACAAGTACAACAACCAATTTTACAAAAACAAATACTTAGCTATGAATATAAGATGTAGGCCAGCATCTAATTTTCTAGTAACTTTCTTTCAGGGAAGCCAGTGTATCTTGATTCTTGCCAGTCTGGCTTCAGACTGTACTATGACTGTAATTCCATCTTGGAAATAAACAGAGATTCAGAATGCTACGTTAACATCAGTTTTTCTTGAGATAAATTTCAGTGTGCAAGTTTTGGCAATTACGTCCCAACTGCTGAGGACTTCTGTACTGTTAATCCACTCAGTTGCTAATTTTCTATTAAACATCTAAAAGGGAGTGTAGGGGCTCTACATTCTCAGTGTGCTGATTAAATCTGTATTTCTCTGGGATTTATCAACTGGTTCACATCAAACACTTCCTTCAATACTGATTAAAAACAAGGACACAGAAAGATGATCAGGGAAATATGGATTCAGGGAAGACTGATGTAGAATTGGCAGGATAAATGGAGTGACCAATGGATACACTGAGAAACATATCAGCCCTCTGTTTTGTAAATTTACACAATTTTTAACAACATCTTCCTCATCTAGGAGCATTGATGGATTCCAGACTCATGTTAGGATATTACACGGCAAATGTATCCAGATCACCAGGAAGAGTTATTTTCATAAAGGGCTCTGCTAATGTAATGCTTACTTTTTCTACTTCAAGCCTCAGTGAATGTTTTGGACTTTTGAAAATATAATTTACATCCCCTTTGAAACTGATTGAGTGCAAAATACAGCAATCCACTGAGTGTGTTTTGTTGGTGTGCATACTCCCCTTGTTGTTTTGGTTAAAACAACCTCAGGTCACACTTGAAAGCTCTTCTCTTCAGGTTTCTGGGCAAAGATTAGTAATTTTGCACTTGAAGGCAAGAAATAGATGCCTTCCATTGTACCTACTGCTACCCCTTAAACTTATTTTTTGTCGACAGTCTTAGGACATCTTGCTAACTGCCCATATATTTTAGATATGTAGTATCAAATAGAGCAAGTTTTCTGCTCCATGCAGGTTTCAGACATGACAATGTCTGCTAGCACAAATACAACAAAACTTTCAACAAAATATATTTTTGACAAAAATATTTAAGAGTTACAAAGGAATGAACAAGAAGATTTAGGATAGTCCATCTCCTTCCTATTATTTATATATACACAGATTAACATTTAAGTGCACTCTCTTCTAGCTGTTTCCCAATTCCTCCTTCACTCTCATCTTATTTATATATACATATATATATGCATGTATGTAAATAAATATATATAAAAAAAAATCGGTGTTATCTCTCTCCAACCAAGGCATACAGTGCTACTGCCATATGCAATGTGAGCAGAATAATGCAATCTCCTTTCCCCTTCAGTAATTTCTGTGCTTCTAAAAAATGACAGTTCTCTTTATAAAAGTATAACACATTACATGGTGCTAACTACGCAAAGTTCTAATTCTACTGCTTTAACCTTTTCCTCCCTTCCTTAAACTGTAGCTAAGAAGATGCTCTTCTTTATCAGTTACTTCAGAACTTCTGTTTCATTTTCAGGAGCAGTTTTCCTTCAGTATTTAAGGTCTTCCTTTGAAAACACCCCTTTCACACTATTTTTTTTTTTTTTACCACGTGTGTTATGAGATGTATCACCTGAAGCCAGTATGGCACACGCTGAGGTTAACAAACACAACACAGATCAAAAGCATGAGATGCGTGTGGCATGTAGGGGTACAGACACATCCTGCAATGCCACATCACACTGCCAGCGCAGGATGAAGTGCCAAAGCCACTGGCAATCTTCCCTAGTGCCTGTCCACACTCAAGACGATGCCAAATGGCACCAGTTTAGGAACAGAACCGTCTGAAGAATGGCCTCCAGTGTTTTAGACCCTGAATGCCTCTGGTCAGGGATTCCGACTTTACCCGGGCCGCAGCGAGGGGTTTGGTGCTCATGAGGGCTCTCACTGGAGGTACCTGTCACCAGCAACAGGTGACAATCCTGTCCTTTAGCAGCCAAACCCTCCACTGCTAACCTGCACTCGCAGCAAATCCCTACCCTGGCTCTGCATTCACACCCTGAGAGCTCTTTCAAGCAGAAAAGCGTCCCCGTTTCTCCTTTACTTGCTGGGTAGGGCACGGACACAGACATGGCTGAAGGAGGGAGAAGCCACAGCAGAGGCAGCTACCAAGGAAAAGGGGTGCAGGGACTTACTGTGGTCGTGTTGCCTTCAGTCACCTCCACGACTGCAAAAGAAAAAAGAGACGGGAAGCCACAATGAGACCCACGCAGCCTGCACGAAGTAGCATTTGGGAGGGTGCGGGAGGAGAGGGCAAATTACAGTGACCGCAACCATCTCTCAAGGACAGCGGCGAGGCAACGGGGCGCGGGGCCGTGCAGAGCCCCCTGCGGACTCACCCTGGCGGAGGGCCCGGGCCGGCGGCGTGGCCCAGCCGCTCCCCAGGAGCCCGGAGAAGATCCGCCGCAGCCCCCCGCGCAGCAGGCTGGGCGCCGCCATCTTGCCGCGGCCGGCGCTGCCGTCACGCCGCTTCCGCCGGCGGGGGGAGGCGGCGCTGCCGCCATTTCGGGGCACGTCCCGCCCGCCCCGGCGCCCGAGGGGCAGAGCCGGGGGGACAGGCCGGGAGGAGTGTGTTCTCCTTTCCAGCATCTTCTCCGCGGGGTGGTCCTCCTCAATGTTTTCTTTTGTTTCTTTTAAGTGTATTGTGGTTGGTGCTGGGCTTGGGTTTTCCTGTTTTGTTTTTTTTTGGTTGGTTGGGGGCTTGGATTTTCTGGCAGTTGTTTCAGCTCGGGATCACAGCACCACAGATTCAGCTAGGTTGGAAAAGACCTCTGAGGTCATCGAGTCCAACCCATGACTGAGCACCACCACGGGAACTAGACAATGGCACTGAGTGCCACATCCAGTCTCCTTGAGCACCTTCAGGGATGGTGACTCCACCGCCTCCCCGGCTAGCGCATTCCAATGTCGAATCACCCTTTCTGTAGAGGAATTCCTCCAGCTGTCCAACCTGAACCTCCCCTGGGCAGCCTGAGGTTGTGTCCTCTTGTCCTGGCACTGGTGGCCGGGGGAAGAGGCCGATCCGCACTTGGCTACGACCTTCTGGGAGTTACAGAGAGCGATAAAGTCATCCCTGAGCCTCCGCTTCTCCAGCCTAGACCCCCTCAGCTCCCTCAGCCATTCCTTACAGGACTTGTGCTCCAGACCCTTCACCAGCTCCACTGTCCTTCTCTGCACCCTTTCCAGCACCTCAATGCCCTTCTTGCAGGGAGGGCTCAGAACTGGACACAGCACTCGAGGGGTGGCCTCACCAGTGCAGGGGGACAATCCCTGCCCTGGCCCTGCTGGCCACACCATTGCTGATACAGACCAGGATGCCATCGGCCTCCTTGGTCCCCTGGGCACAGCTGGCTCATGTTTAGGAGGATGGAGGTAAATCTAGTGGTAGTGATGCCTTTGTGTTGTGGAAGCCTGAGCTACACTCCTGCCACAGCTCCTGAATCTCCTAGTTCTCCAGTGAGGGAAGGCTGAGAGGTAGTTTTACTTCAACTATATGGCTCCTCTGTTGGGATGGGCTCTGGAGTGCCTCCTGCATCAAAGAGGGTTTCAAGACAGCTGTGGGATTTGGGGAGGGGGTTTGTTTCGAATTACCACATCTGTATGTTCCAGGGATCCTGAGGTTCTCGCCTCTTCCTGCAGTGGTTTGTGCATTTCAGCAGGTGACAATTTGAAGCAGCGTGTTGCCCAGCTGTAAGTCTTGTAAACAGTCAGTCTAGTTTAAACACTTTTCCATTTTTGTTTGAATATCACTTGTCTTTGACAGTTTGAAGGCTGCTGACATCATTTTTCCCATCATCTTTCTTAGCATACCTCATCGCTTGACTTCTCACACCTGCCTTTGGTGCAAGGTAGCCTAGAGGTGCTGCTCAGACCCACATAGTCCACTGGGATTTCAGATACCAACAAACAATTTGTCTTAGATGATAATGCTGCATCTTCGTAAAGAGCGTACTTGAGTTGAACTGTACTTGAGAGCAAAGGTCATTCATGGAGTTTCTCCAAGTGCTTGTTTGTTTTCTGTCATTTCAACTCTTTAAAAAAATCCAGAAAGTGAAAACTAACAGAGTAAATTAAAATCACTTGTGACTCATGCACGCTGATGGACATTCATGCCATTCTGTTTCATAAGTGGTCAACAGTGTTTATCCAAGATGTTCTGTATGTTTTTCTGAGTTTGTATCTAAAATGTGGTGCAAAATGTAAACTGCAACATACACGTAAAATTTCTTGTAAAATATAATTTAATCTTTCTGTTGCAGGAGGTCCTTCCATCTCCTTCCTCTTGTGTGTTGCACTTGTTTCTTGTTATAGTCTACTTTGCAAATCTCTTTCAGTTACAGGTCTAAGCTCTCAACTCTGGGACTTTCCAAAGAAGTGGGAATGAAGGCAGGGCTTCTGTCCAGATTCTTGTGCTTTATGCCAAGCAGTGAAAGCAGGGCCATCCCATTTATTCAGAGAACAAATTGAGTAAGAATGCTTGCCGGAAGAGAACTCTTCCTCTCTCACCACTTTATGCTATATAATGATTTCTAGAATCAGGGTGATTTTCAACTTGTCCAAAAGCTTAAACATAGGAGCCAAACAAAATATTTACTGCCATCCAGTCTGGGAATTATTTCCTTATGAGGAGAAGGAACATCGCTGGGCACAGTGGTGTAGTGAAGTCACAATTTTATGGGTTGGTTGTTGTTTTCTTTTCTTTATAAAGTGAGTTTTATCCTAGGGGAAGAAACAACCTAACAGAAGAGTTTATTCAATGGCTTAAAATAAATGCAGTTTCTTCTGCTGGCTTTGTTGCCTCTTGTGAGTGGGAAAACTTAATTTTTGGGATGGAAATCAACAGTTAATAAGCACAGTGCTGGCTTACCATGGTAAAGTTATGTAGACAGAGGATTAGTGGCTGTTCAAAAATTTCTCCATGTCATTGGACTTTTGAAACAGATACTTAAGCAGTGGTGTGGCTTTTGGTCAGACAGAAGGAGACCAGCAACATGGTGGTAGTTCAAATGCAGTAAGTACTCCACTTGCTTGCCTCACCTTCAAACAAATGCTGTCTCTAAAGGAGTTTAAGCGACAAATAATTTAATGCAAAGAAGGAAGATTGTTGCATTCTTAAAAACCTGCATGCTTGGGTTGAGCTATTTGTCTCTTCTCCTGAGAATTTTTTTTTGTCTTGTGCATATTTCTGCAACTTTTAGCAGTGCAGACCATCGAGTCCCAAGGAGAAAAACAAAGCATGTGCCAATTTGAGTTGAAGCCCATAGTCTCTTTCCAAATTTGGAAATTTGACATATTTCTGATTTCTTGCAGATAATTTTTGAATGTGTTTATTTCATCAAGCCCTTGTGTTCAGGGAAGAAGAAATATAGCCCTGAATACGATGTCCCCGCACATGAGAGAAAATAAAGTGATTTTCTTGCTGTAAGCTGGTTAGCTGTAGTCTGTGATTTGTCAGCACTGTGGTGGGTCATCCAGTTTAGATAGAACTGGACGTTTCCAAGGAGCAGAATGCAATGTCACTGGCACTTGAAGAATTAGTCATTTTCCTTTTGAATAAAAATTGAACCTGTGGTCCAAAATGTGGATCTGGTCAGGAGCAACGAAGTACCGTATTTTACTTGAGAAACTTATGCCCCAAGTGCTTACAGCCTCCAGAGATTTTATGGGACTGTTCTCAAAGAAATTGTATTCTCTTGTTTGAGCTGCTTTGGGGTTACACATTGTCGATGTTCTGTAAGGCTCCATTTTTCTTTTCATACTAATCTGTGTTATGTTCTTGTCTGAAAATGGACTATGTTTTGTTATTTTTCTTATTTCTTCTAATGTATTAGTGTATCTGCTTCCATCTACAAAGAAACTTTTCTGGTCTTGTGAGCCTTTTCTGGTCCGCTGGATGTTAATGGATGACATGTATATTTGCTCCAGAGCCTTACCCATGCAAATAGCTTCTGAAGGCTGAGGCTGTTCCAACCAAACATGATTAAAAGTCATAGGAATCAAGATGGAAAAAGCTATTAGGTCAAGTAGTTCCCACACGCACCCCCAGGACCAGCGCAGGTTTGTTTCCAATGGTACATTCTTGGTGCTTTCCAGAAGGGGTCAGTGCAGGTCAGCGCTCACTTTGCATCCAACAGCCCTCCCCCCTTCTTGAAAAATTAGGAAACCTGAATCTGCTTACAAGTAGGTTGCAGAACGTCTAGAATTTATGTTAAAGTCTGTAGTTTGATGTTGGGCTATCAAAAGCCAAAGAAATGTGCTCAAATCCAACAACTGATAATCCAAGATTTTAAATGAGGGAAATTAGTAAACTCTTCAAAATTACTTGTTAGATATGTACATATATTAGATGATACAGATCCTGAGAACTGTTCTGGGGATGCTCGGCTGAAATGAGAGGGACACAGATTCACAGGTTTATCCTGGTGAGTTGTCCATACTTAGAAAGCACATATTACTATAATATTTTATAGTTACACAAAAGCCTGGATAGTTCAAAATTCTGATCATAAAAGACAAATGTGACAAAAACTCTCATGAGTCTAAATAAGGGAAGAGAATAACAATCATCCTGCGCCACAATATGGTTGTGTTGTCCTACTCAAGCACTGAGATACAGTAATGTCCTTGAAGGTTGTCCAGTGTCCTTTAGGGCATGGAGGCTCCTGCAGGGTTCATCACATGTGAATCAGCTCTCTGGTCAAGAGTGGCCAGAGATCATCAGCAGGAAAGGCTGGCCATTCCACACCAGTGTAGTGTACCCCAAGTGCCTGTGTCCATGAAGAAGTGACAGCTAGCTTCTCAAACTGACTTTAGATGGTGGAGAAGAATGTCATTGGGAGAAAAATTAATAGTTGGAAGTGTGAAGGGAGTGAAAAGGTGGCTGGAGATGGTAAGAAGGAAATGCTGCAAAGGGAGTAGAGAGAGATGGCACTGGGATAGAAGAACAAGTGACTCACTTGAATACAACTTGTTTATATTTTTAAGGTTTTCTTGTTTTCCCAGTGGATATGGCTATTTTTCAAAGTAAAATAACCAAGGAATAATTTCATTACGTTTCCTTCCAAGATTTCAAGCTAAGTGTAAACAAGAAAAATCCAGTGGGAAAATTAATCTAACTTCCTTTTGCAAGAGCATTTCAGTTCTGTTTCTCCCCCCACCACACTCCTTATATATTTTCGCTGCTACTGTTATACCCAGTATCTGTGGTATTGCTGACACCAGCTAAAATACCTCAGTGATGGCATTTATTAGAGGGAGAAGACTTTAGAATCACTCAAAATTACTTCTGATATAAAAATGATAAGTTCTGAGCCACTCAGTGCTTAAAAAATATTGATGACTTTTGATGCTTTGGGAATGTTCCATATGGGCAAGTTAAAATGATAGAAAACAACTGAACCACTTGCACTGGATTTGATCTCTGGCAATTCATATTTGGGCTGCA